TCACCACCTGGAAAACTGAAAATCCACAATTAATTCACAAGAAACAAAGAAAAACCTGTTTCTCATCCCAGTGGGACTTCTGGGGACTGGCTGTCTCAGAAATGGGGCAAAACAGGGATGGCTCCATGTCAAAATGGGTGACTGYAATTCATCCACAAAGCTTTCAGTATGTCAAGGTGGAAAAGGTTACTCTGGAACATTACTTTGAATAGCTCTGGGAACAAACCCAGCATTAATTTTCAACATTTATTCAGCAAATGATTTGAATAAACTGAGGAAGGCTCGTGCACACATACTGACAGCGTTATTTGGCAGATTTTTGCCTCTGCTTCTGAGATAATTCAAGACAAATAACTCCCAGCAAAGATGATCACTTTCCGGACCGATGAGTGTATTCAACGACCCTCAGGCACAAGGTAACCTCTCAAAATCCCTTCCAGCACAATTTTAGTACCATTTTACATCACAAACTATTTTCACACTGGCATTTGCTGTGATTTATCCCTGCAAATAAGTTTCTCTCAAAGAATAATTGATGGAAAGGGAAAACAGAAATGCAACAGCAGCTTTGTCGCTCAAGGACAAAGCAAAGTGAAACAACCAAGCACAGAGCCACAGCATCCTCGATCCAAATGTTTTCCAAAACATTTCCAAATATTTTTCAAAGCTTCCAGAAGAAGCTTTCACAACTAGGCTGCAACCCCTCCAAAGCCTCGGGCACTGAGCGTGGCATCRTGGTGTGCTGCAGCAGAGATGCCAAGGGGATGCTTGGTGGTGACTTTGCCAATGAAAAATCTGCCAAAACAGACCCAAGAGCCCTGTGCAGAAAACACAGGGTTTAGAAGAAAAACTGCCTCTGCTTCCTCCACAGGGCGTATTCCAGTGTGACAGAGCTCAATTGTTACATGGGCTTTTGGGAAGGGTCAGTCCCTCTGTGCTGGGCACTGAGGGCCACATTTCAAGTGCTGTATCCAGTTCAGAGCCTCTCATCACAAGGACATTGAGGTGCTGGAGAGTGTCCAGAGAMGGGAATGGAGCTGGGGAAAGGTCACAAGTCTGATGAGGAGCAGCTGAGGGAGGTGGAGGAGGCTCAGCCTGGAGGAAAGGAGGCTCAGGGGGGACCTTCTCACTCCACAGCTCCCTGGCAGGAGGGTGAAGCCAGGTGGGGGTCGGGCTCTGCTCCCAGGGAACAGGGACAGGACAAAAGGACATGGCCTCAAGCTGTGTCAGGAGAGGTTCAGGCTGGACATCAGAAGAATTCTTCACTTAAAAGGTTGTTAAGCACTGGGACAGACTGCCCAGGGCGGTGGTGGAGTCACCATCCCTGGAGGTGCTCAAGAAACAACTGAACATGGCACTCAGTGCTGTGGTTCAGTTCACAAGGATGTGTTTGACCACAGATTGGACTCAGTGATCTTGGAGGTCTTTTCCAACCTTAATGATTCTATGAATACATGTGGTCAGATGTCCTCACCTTCGTGRCAGGYTTTTGCACCTTAGGAARATCCTTCCTGCCTCTRATCTTGTGGAATTATAATAATTAAWAAACTTAATAATAAAAGAATTCAATAAAACAATAAAACAAGTTTTAAACCCACTCATGGAATGGTAAGGAGAGAAAACCATACATTTTCTACACYTAAGCTAAAAATGCTGAAGTTCTGTCCACACGCCTTCAAACGTGGATGTTTATGGTCATTACACAGACAAAACTGAGACAGTTGTGAGATGATGGTCTGAGCAGCTGACCACAACCACAGCAGCCAAAGATGAGCACTGGAGGTCTCAGCAGCACCCAGCTGCAGGAACTGACCGCTCTGGGGATGGGGGACTGGCACACAGTTGGTCCCCATCCTCAGCCTCCTCACCCCACTGCTGACACAACTTCCATCCCCACTGACACCCTCAGCAGAAACAGCAGCGCCTGTAAAGCAGAGCCTGAGTCCTTCAAAGTCCAAAGCTCATCTCCAACTCTTTCAACATGCTCCTGAACACAATCAAAGCCCCTTCTACCAACTGTACATGGGCTTTGGATTAGACCTTTTGYAGACTGGGGGAAAAAAAGAGCCTTTCTTGAGGATGATAAAGTCTAGACACTACAGTATATTTTCCAGCTGATGCAGCAAACCTAAAAAGGCCTCCCTTGATCTCAGACTGTCACGATCAAAGCCATTATCCCATTCGGAGCCCTTCTGAAACTTTAGCTTCCAAATGTGCAAGTTATTTTTAAAATCTAAACCAGGCCAAGCCTCTTGTTTGGAGTTTTATGAGGAAAATGGGGTGTGCTCCTCCCAAACCTTCCCCCACCATGTCTGGAAGTGGTTGGTGGGCACATGGTGGAGGATGAGAGCAGGGAGGGGTCCCCATGTCTGGGGACACCTCAGTGGCACCTGGTGGCCATGATCTGCTTGCATGGGGGACACAGCTGAACCCCCCAAGGTGGCTGTGGTGTGGGGAATACTCTCCATCCTTGACTAAGATAGAGTTTTTTGGAGAGCAAACATCGTTTGCATCCCCATCCTCAGGATCTGTGCTTTCATCTGGCACCTTCCATCACAGAGTGTGTAGTTCTGGAGACCAAGAAAAGAAACAGCCTGAGATACTTTCATTTTCTACAGAAATTAAATACAACTAAGCACTGTGAATTTCCTTTTCCAGGTAGCAGGATGACCAAGTGCACAAATAACATCCACCACTGCACCAAGGGATAACTGGGGAAATAACGTATTCCAGGAAAAAATAAATCATTCTCCAGTCTCTTGGAGCAGTGTTTCAGGTGGCTGAAAGGAAAGAAGAAATGCACAACCTTGCAGAAGAATAGGAAAGCCATAAGGGCATCACCTCTGCCTTCAGTGGGATGCTCAAGGAGAGTAGTGGAAGACCAGCCAGCTCATGCTAGACCAGCTGGTGCTGTGTGATGGACACCAGAGCTCCTGGCATGCTGTGGCCTCAGTGGGAAACCGGACCTGTGATCAGTCCCAATCACCAGAGCTCACAGCACCCAGACTGGAAATGGTCAAGGGTCGAATAGACTGGAATGATGAGGAGCTCGGGGAGAACTGGAAGGGCTCTTTAAAAGCATGTGACCACCAAGCTTCCCCTCACACATCCAAAAGTGGACTTCTAACAGGGGAACATTCTTCAGAGAGACGGGGACTAAAGGTGGCTCTAACTGCAGAAAGACGGGAGCAACACAGAGCATTCACATGCTCCAAAGCTATTTTAAAGCCAAATCAGGCTCCCCAGTGAACACTTAATTTAGCTAAGCAACTTCTGAAGCACCAGGCAAATGAGCCACGTCATCTCCTTTTCCTCCGAGCATCCGTCCCCATGACTGTCACCTCCCTTCCCCTCTGTGCTTTACCATCCTCAATTCCCAGCAGCTCTGCTACTTCYCCCCACCTCTCTCCCTGCCTAAACCAAGCAGATCTGTGAAAAGCTGAGTGAAGCAGGCAGGTACACACCAGTAGGATGGGGTTTAGAGACCTGCCACCCCCTCCAGCATCCCTCACTGTGGCTGGAGGGACCATGCTGGGCAGGAGCAATGGCTGTGCTGCACATCACACATTCCCATTGCTTCAGGAAGTGTTGTCTGAACCTCCACCAGCTTTCCAGCTGGGTAAACATCAAGGAAAAAGTCAGGTTGACAGGCTTTCTTAAGAGTATTTCCATCAAATACGACTTTTCCCACCTCCACGCACACCGAAGCAGAAAGAGTGAAGGCCACCAGCAATGTGGTGCTGGTTGTGACAGCCACCACGGCTATCCTAGAGGGGACAGAGGATTTGCCAACATCTCTCCAAATTTTTACTCTGGAGCTGGGACAGGATGTGGGGAACATGCCCAGCTTCAGCTCTGCCACAGCAGAGTCCAACACATGACCTGTCACTGTGGCTCATCTTTACTCTTCCCAAAAAATGCAGAGAGAAAATGGACTTCTACCTCAGCCTCCACACAAGCAACTTTCCCTGGGTCTGCTGCAGATACCTTTGGTCCCACCTTGTCCAGGTCCCTTCCCTCTCAGGAACTTCTCCCAGGGAAGAACAGCAAAGCCCAGCTGTGAATCTGTATCCCGGAAAAGGGCTAACACAAAGCTACCAACCTCAAAAATSTATGGTCCCTATCACACAGGAAAGCAGAGAAGCTGATGGTAAAAGCTGCTTCTGGATTTAAAAGGATCTGAACCTATCAGGGAAGCACTGTGCACCCCAAAGTTTGCATATTGAACATGATAAATGAGGCAGCAAAGGCAGCTGATGAGCCAGCACCTCAGAACCCAACTCCGACCAGCCCAGCTCAGGAAGAGAGAGAAACCAAGGGGAAAAAAGCAAATTGTCCAGCCCCACACTGCTGTCAGAACAGCAGCCATTCATCTGCTGGCGGTGATCAACACTGAAGGGAAAACATCACGCGATTCACTTGGGCACCAGGCACAAACCATGATGGGTTCAGCACCTCACCGCTCTCCCTGCGAGACTTCCCGGCCATCCCACCCTCTTCTGCAGTGATTTCCTGCGTCCTCCTCATCTCCCGTGTTAAGAGATGAGAAATGTGTGAGAAATGAGAAACACCCAATCTCCAATCCTGCCAAACTTACAGTGGTAACTTATTTTCAGACAGAAATAAATCTGTGATTTTTATAAGAGATACCACTGGGTTAAGGAGTCAAAGCCATAACWGTGGAAGTGAATGCAAAAGCCCTTTATTTCTGTAAGGACATTTTTTCCTCTGCCCCTGAAATGACAGGGAGCAACACAGCCCTTGCCAGTTTAGSGGGGTGAAGGCTTGGCTGAGAGCAGCCTCATTAAACTGGCTGGGTCGTTCAGCGCCAGTCCAAACACTCAGTCCTCTGATCAGCGCATGACGGGCTGGGAACCACAGGCAACTCACAATTAAACCCGTGACAATCAGGAAAAATCCTTACAACCCCCCCAAGCAGAATCCACCAACACCATACCCACCCTCCCTGCCTCCATTTATTTATTTATTTATTTATTTACTTACATAAGCCTCATGACAGGTAACTTGGAGGAAATCAGATGATTTAATGATTAAGCGACACTTAGGCAGCCCTCTGGAAGATAAATACGCCCTTCGGTAACCCTGCAACAGAAACAGAAGGTACAAACAGACAGTAACTAATTATTCTGATTAAGTCTTGGAAGACCTGAAATACCCGACTGCAGCAGAACAAAGCCAGCGTGCGCAGGAGCTGCTTGTAAAAAAAAAAAAAAAAAGTCACACCCTTTTTTTGAAAGAATTCACCCAAATAAACCTAAGTGGTTCTGTGTTGTTTTTGTTTGTGTGCATGTTACTAAAGGTCTAGGCAGCTGATAGGAAATCTCTGCCATACCCTAGAGGGATCCCGTCGCCTTCAGCTAAAATTAGACTTCAAGGGAAGCGGGCGAAGGCGGCGTCTGCAACCTGTGCCGGCACAGCAAAGCTCCCACCRCGCACTCGAGGAGCGGCGCGTCGGGGGTTTTCCTCCCTTCCCATCGAAACCAAAACCAGAGAGGTTTTCGGATGAAAAGAAATTAAGGAAAATAAATAAATAAGGTGTGTTCCTACGGAGAAAGGCGGAGAAAGCAGGTCTACCCCGCTGGTAGGCTGGGAGGGATCGGAGCCAGGAATGAGATGTGGGCAGGTGGGGATGAAGCTGAGTCACAGGGACTGGGCAGGATGCAATGGGATGCTCAATTTAGCAGTGAGAGGAACTTGCAAAGCCCAGCAGCAGCTGAGCCACCATCGTGGATGCAGAGCAAGGCACCTGAGACACCAGCACCAGGAGCCTCTGTTCCAGCCAATGCTGTAGACCAGGACAACGGGATGCGCTCAGCAGACATTCCTAAACTCTCCCTGCCTTGGAGGAAAACCATAATTTCCCTCCGCCCCTTCCCTCTGCCCTCCCCCAACCACAATAAATGCCAGTGGAGCTCAGGGGAATATTTAATCTCAAACCTCAGTAATCAATCAGTTCACCCTCACGCATGAGAAAGAGGCACAGCGGTAAGCACCAAATCCCATTTCCATCCAGCAATACGACGGTTTAATTACGCACATAACATTTCCCTCTCAACATAAATCCTGAAGAGATCCAGGCAGCCCCCAGGTTGTGGGTGGGGAAGGACACAGTGACGGGGAAGAACATGGAGAAGGGGCGAAAGAAAGGGAGGAGAAGCCATTATGACCATTATTTAAAATGACTTTATACGGCTGCTCCACTTTGCCATTGGCACAGCCATGCTTTGACCTTATATTTGATGTCCCAGAGGGTGGGCAACAAGCCCAACATCCAGCCCTGCCACCAGAAGCTGCATCTGTTTCATTCCAACACACCAGCAAGCATGTGGGAGAAAAAGGGCATGGAAAATGCAAGATGGGCACACACGGAAAGGCCTGATATAAATAACAACAACAGASCCTCTCCAGTGGCGCTTGCCAGACTTACTCCAAAGCCTGCTCACATCAAAGGGAGCCGTCCTAGCTGGGTCTGAGCGGGTTTGGGATCACTCCCTGCCAACACCTGTTATTTCCAAGTGTAAGAATGGCTGGACCAGCAGGACCATCACACAGCTGGCAGTGCAACAGGTAGGCAGCTGTGAGCTACATCCCTCATCAGCCCAACCAGACCAATCCTGAGGGACACAGCTCACAAACGGCCTTGCTGAAATATATACATATTGTTCTTAAATATAAACACATGCACAGACTTTTCTAATATATAGGAACAAAAGAGGGGACACCCCGCTGAAACCCCATGTGCAGCTCCACCGCTCTCTCTCGCAGTGACGAAGGAAATGAGAAGCAGAGACCAGGCACGCACCCGCTCGCCGTGGTGTGTGTTGGCTCTGGGAACGTTTCTGRATTCTCCAGCTTGAGCTCTGACCTCCAAGAGATGCAAAATGGTCTCAGAGCCGCTCTGGAGAAATGGAGAGGTCCTTTTGGGCTCAGCAAATGGAACAGTTTGGAGACGTGGGCTCCAGGTGCTCATGGACAAAGCTCACATAGCCTTTGCCCCATGGGTTCAGAGGCCTTCAAAACACCCACCATGCTCCAGATGAGATCAGGAACAGCCCCAAACCCACAGGGCATGGCAGAAAGCAAGATTCTCTCCCAGCAGGACACACCTTGACCACAGGTCCAGCCTCACCAGGCCACGGTGCTCGGACAAAGCGAGGGAAATGAGCGCAGGGCCAGAGCAGCATGGCCTCAGCCAGAGCTGACTCACAAGATGGATCCTGRGCACTCTGTGACTATCACCAGCAGCATTATATAGCTAAAAATAGATGACAAAGATGCTTATGCCAGCTCTTTATAACCTTGTGTAGCTATCTGCAAGAAATGGATCATTTTAAGAAACTTTCCCAAYTGAYATGYATAGAGGCKTGTTCATAGGGTATTTTAGGGGAAAACCCTCCYAGTCAAGGCCTGGGYTCTGGCCAAGCCCTGGCCCTGGCTGGTCRGGAAGCGTGCCATCAAATCCAGCAGTTTYTGCACTAAAAATATAATCAAGTCACTTCAGCTTGCTGTTTTGGGCCTATAAAAGCAGGACCCAATTTGGAGGCGAATTTGGAGGCCTCACCTATGAACGCACCACGTAGGATTTTCCCAGTTGCTGGGAAGGGCTGTCCAGGTCCTCGCTGCAAAACGGAGCTCCTCAGTGACTGCAGRCTCTGGATGATGGTGAAATATTTAGGCTTTTGGTGATGGATTTTTTCAATCATTGTCCTTTGTCTTGTATAGTAATGATTAGCTGCATTACCTTGCTT